GGCGGCGGTGGCGACTGCCGAGGCGGGAAATGAAGTTGCAGCACTTTTCCTTGAGGTTGGGGAAGGGGAAATCGGTGGAGCGCGGCTTGTTGCGAAGCGACGCGCTTCGAACGAGTTTTGGCCTGACGCGGTGGTGAGGGAAGCAACACGATAAGCAGAGAGAGGATCTAAACCTGTTCTTGAGAGAGTGAGGGGATCCAGCGCTGAACTCTTCTTCCGCCATGAACGCGAAGGAGCGAGAGAAGAAGCTTTTGCAATGCAGCCAAGAGAGAGAAAGAGAGAGTGGTAGAACAAAACGCTAAATAGGTGAGTCTGAGAGGGAAAGGGAGAGACTGAAATTACGATAAAGGACACGGAGGTTGCGGTGGCTGGTCACGGAAAATAACGCTATATTTCCAAGGGTATTCAAGTCATTTTCTCCTCTGTGGACATCGTAGCCTTGAGTATAGTAATTAGTAACGCTTGCATTACTACGTGGAGGTGGAACAAAAACCTTTTTCTTTTTCTTTTTCTTTTACCCTTTATACTGATTTTCCCTTTTCATTAACTTTTTTTATTCTTTATCCTGCCCACAATCTCTTTCTAATTGGAAAAAGATTAGCTTAGTAAATCAAAAATCCAAATTTCCTTTTAATAGAAATTCACTACTATAATGCAACAGATCCGACTCCTAAATAGTGATTCCAAGGTTATGTTACTTTTAAAAATTGATGAATAAGGGGAAAAAATAGAACCCAACAAGTTCAATTTTAGTTTTTGTTGAAAGATGTTACCTAAGTTAATAAGCCATTTATGAATTTCCAATAAACATATATATATATATATATATATTAGACTTATAAATACTAATGAAGTTTAGATATTTTATGTCTCTATTAAAAAAACAATAAAATTATATATCAATTCAATTGCTATTACAATTTGTTTTTAAACCTCAAAAATTTGGAATTCAAGCTTTAAATTTTTTTAAAAATATTATTTTTTAAAAATATTTATTAAGAAAGAGTATTTAGTATCGATGATCAAGTGGTTCAACCATTCAACAAAATTTAACAGCTATATTTTATATTATTCTGTTACAAAAAAAAATGAAAGCAGAATGGTTTGAAGAATAGGTAGTATTGATTCTACTGAACATGCTTGAAGGTGAAATTTGACAACAATCACCATATAATTGATTTTTGCAAATTATACACACGTCATATCAGTAGTAGCTAAGTGAAAGGACCTTTCACCATTAACCAATACCAGACAAGAAAGTTAATCTTAATAAAATAGAAGAAAAAAAAGAAAGAAAAAAAAAAAAAAAAAAGGAAACTCTCATCTCAAATGAGATTCTCATTATAATGGTCCCTTCGTCTTTTCAACCATTCCTAACCAAAATCTTATTAGTATGAGTACTAACATCAATCTCATTAATGTCACGTTTCCTAATACTGTATTAGTTTCTAGTTTTAGTAGGCAGAGAAAAAAACTATAAATTAATAAACACAAAAAAAGTAACATTTCTTTAAAAAATTAAAAATTTCCATTAATGTTATATTTCCTCGTACAGAATCTTATCCATAATCTGTCAGTATCGGTCGGTCAGAATTTTTATGAACAATATTAAATTATTAAGTAATTGTTTTTAATTTATTATTTTCTACTATTTTTGTCTTTGGAACAAATAATTAAGCATTTCAAAATTTTATTTGTAAAATAAAATTACAATGTAAAACTTTATGTCCACTATTTATAATTAAGCTAGTTTTAATAGAATTTTTGCCGTGCATTTTGAATTATGACTATTTTCGTTGTTTCATTAAAACTAATGGTATAAATCAATCCACTTTTAACCTATCAAAGAAAATGAATTTGGTTAATATGAAATCATTTGAAAGTTTAACTTTAAATTTTCTACACAATTCAACCAGTAGTGTTGTGTGAGTTGAATTGGGTTAATATGTCTTTAAAAAAAAAAAAAAAGATAAAAAGGTTACAAAAAGCAGACAATTCATAATTTGATGCATCAAATAATGAAATAAATAAATAAAATTAATTTATAGAATGTATCAATTATAAAATGTTACCTTATTAAATTATCTCATCACACATTCTCTATAGAAACTATTATTATTAGTTAGTTAATTATAGAAGAACGCAATGAAATAACATGAATTTATACATTACTTTCGAAAATATTATGCATAATAAAATCATATATAATTAAACAATATAAAAATAACTAAAAAATATATATTTAGTCTATTGGTCCAATTTAATCCAGCACGTCTTTTAACTAGAGTTATCAATTTAGATTTGACTTGTTGAGTTAGTATGATCAATTTATAAATAATGTAAAATTAAATTTTAAAATAATGTTTTAGTCAAATAGAAGTAGGTCATTTTGACTTAATCAATTAAGTCCGACAAGTCAAATGAGTCAAAGTTAAACTAGTTTGCAGATTTATGAGTTGACCCATTAAACTAAAAAGTGAAATAATCTAAATTATTTTATTGTCAATTTGAAAATCTATAATGTATTATGAAATAATAGAATAAAACATAATAATAATAATAATAATAATAATAATAATAATAATAATAATAATAATAATAATAATAGTCTTTACTCTTTTGTGTTTGCTTACATAGTTGTAGTTATAAGCTCAGAGTCAAAGTTAACTTATGTGAGAATTTCTCTGCTCCCAGTTTTCGGTACTAATCATTTAAGACGTCATAAGTACCAATATGTTGGGATCATGTTAGATAACAAAGCTAGTTTATTAAAATAGTAATAATCTAATCATAAAACTTGTAGAGATGTATTAGTTAGGTGTATTATTATGCATGATCTTCCATATAGTTAAACTAATTTTGAAGGGGTTTGAGCAATGAATAGAATGTTAAATCATGATTTTAAACCTAATTGTATAAATATCACAACAAAGTGTTTTTAATTGAATAGAAAATGTTAGAGAATGTGTTAACTACTAATTTTTGGTAGAATATATTTGACTTCAAATATGTGAATATCTATAACTACTTAAAGTTATATGACTGTGATTGACTCATTGCTCATCTATAACTAATATATAGTATCAATTAATTATGTTATATATTTTTCATTGTAAAAATCATATTTAATTTTTTAATATGTTTTTAATTATGTCAATTTGATCCAATGTCTCGACATAGGTCAAGTTGGGCAAAAAGATGACAACCTGAAAATAATATAGGTTATTTAATTTAATCAAAAATAATATTTGACTCTTGTAGATTAGGTTAGGTTGGATCAGTCAAACCTATTTGATATTTTTACCCTTAACGTGTTTGGTTGATAGGTTGTCACGTTGAATAACCTAACTCATTTTGATGGATTTACTACTAGAAAAATTAATATTTGTGACGAATTTTGTGACGGAAAAAATAGCATTGCTAATAGTGACGCATTTTGTGAGGGAATTTTAAGTTTTGTGACGGACTAGAATTTATTGACTTTTGTGACGGATTTTGTGACGGAATATATTCCGTCTCTAAAAATCCGTCACAAATTTCGTCACTGAATCAAAAAAAAGAAATTTGTGACGGGAAAATTTTCGTCTCTAAAAATCCGTCACAAATTTCATCGCTAAATAAAAAAAAATGTTTGTGACGGATTTTGTGACGGAATGAACTTCGTCTCTAAAAAATTTGTCACAAATTTCGTCACTAAAATGAAAAAATTTAGTGACGGATTGTTCCCTCTCAAAATTTCGTCACAAATAGGTTAAAATATTTTGTGAAAAATTTGTGACAAATTGTTCCCTCACGAAATATTAAATTTTATTTATGAAACTTTTATATTTAAGA